AAAAAAAAAAAACATTAACAACGATCTCAGCATAAAAAAAATTGTTAATTGACAATATAACTCAATACTACAAATTGAGTACGATACATGATTTCCTTCCCTGTAAATTATGATCAAAGGGCCAAAACCCAATATTAAATCAGATGTGCTTTGAGAACCCTTCTACCGAAGTATCCATCGTCGTCAAGTAAAGTCAGAGAACAGATTTGAAAAATACATATATATGTTTTAAAATTACAAAATTCATAGGCCCCACTAGATAATTAATCCAAGGAATCACATTGTACTATAGTCAGATCATGAAAAGAATCCGTATCAGCTATTCCTTCGTACGCTAAGAAGAAAACCTTTTCACCAACATTAGAAAAGCTTATTATACCTTTTCATCGACTTCAGAAGATTCTGTTAATCCTCCATGCTTTTGCTGACTGCTTCTGGGTATTGAATAACTACGTCTTTCTTTGCCTCCAGGTTTAGATGAGGCATTGCCGTACCAGATCATACCAATAACGGCAATAATCATGCCAATAACTACTTGTATGTTAAGGCCCTCTTTCCCAAAAAATAAGAAACCGAGAATCAATACAAGGATAGTTTTCATATGTCCTAGCACTTGAAATGAGACAGCAGTGAATCTGCCGATGCAGATGAACTGGCTGAGATTTGTACCCACAGCAATCGTGCATGATAGGATCAAGAACACCTGTGGAGTCAAAAAGTAACTTGGTTAGTTGAGAGTGCTTCATAAGAATTCAAAGAGTACATATGCATCACTGATCCTCCTTTAGTGGTTTACTCCTACAAACCTATGCAGTTCAAACCAGATTCTTTTTCCTATGTTCTTGATTGCAACTTACTGTTATTGTTTCGACAGAACAATATCACGGAATGACAAGTAGGAGAATGTACTTGCAATGCTTTAAGTGATTCTAACTGGAAAGGAAGTTAAGAGGGCAGAACAGTTATTTCTGTTAAGCCAATAGCAATGACATTAAATATGTTCATCACATCTTAAATTTCAAAGTGAAGGGAAGGACAAAACACATAAAACATTAATAACATGAGAAAAGCAACTGACAAGCCGATAAATGTTCCAGTCCAGAAACTGCAAATAGTTAATACCAGAACCTAACCAGATATCATGCAATACAAGTCAACCGGCACAAAAATCAGGAAGGAAAATCAGGTTCAGTCTCGCCTTAAAAGTCAAGCCATTGTGGTATTCTATATCGACAATTACACATACGTATTAGTTCTCGCTTTAGCAGCAACCAAACACCTAAAAAGGAAGCTACTTGGTAAAGTTAACTTAGTTGTTCTTTTTTGTCATTTTATTCAAACTCAATTCTCATCTTTGAAGCTGAAGTAACACTGAAGGCATATGGACAAAGAATCCTTGAAAATTATGACTAAAGGGTCAATGGCAATTAACTATATTATGACACACGTAGTATAGCTTGTGGAAGTACTTACCATTGACGGAAGATGGAAGTCAAAGGCATCAATTCTCTTGTTCGTCAACCAATAATCAAGAAAAGGGCCTAACAACAATAGTGATGCAGCTTGGGCTGGTGCAGTGTGACCCAATAGATTAAATGACGTAAGAGAATACTTTCTCTGAAGAAAATGAACATACTGCAGGCAAAGTACAGTTATGTAATATTCAACATATGGCATAGACAGCACAAAAGATCTTCAATCAATTAATACAATCTGAAGTATGCATACTACATTACAAACTAACCACCTACCACACGCACACATTTGGTATCTTCTTGGAACTAAATAACTTTGATCTTTACAAAAATACCAACGAAAAATAATTCTTACCAAGTATTGTAGCTTAAGAACTCTGTGAATTAGTCATCATTTTTTAGCTTTCTTAACACATGTACAAGTTTCTCAAACTATAGAGTCAAAATATAAAGTAGGACTTACATACTGTTGCAGTGACGTACTCCAAATTGCAATAAAAGCAGCAATGAATCCCTTGGCATTAACACTCACATCAGTAACTGTACAGACAGCAACACCAAGGAGTACAACTAAGATGCTAAGCTTTGTATCTCTCGAATATCGTATCTTGTCAAACACAACTTCCAACAAGCAGGAGACAGGGATCATAGTCAGCTTCGCAATCTGATAGCATTCAACACATAATATGAAATATTAGCTTGTACAATGATAGAAATAGCCCAACACTCTCCCCTAATTTTCTGTTCCTCTCTCTCTCTCTCTCTCTCTCTCTCAGATACACACACACAAATATTGATAAACCCATTATATACCTGGTAAAATCCCACTGAATTCCACATTAGGCTGACATTCATTCCTACTATAGAGAAATTTGCAAATATGATAAATTTTAGAAGCTCCATTACAGGTAGATGAGAAGGTTGGATGTAGCCCAGCCATCTTAGAACAGCCGTCATCAAGGTTGTGGTAGCAAAATGCAAACCAGTTAATGTTGTCGCTGCACAGGTTAACCAAGTAATAAAGCTTAAATCATCCATAAGTAAAAACCGAAAAACAGAAAAAAAAAAAAAGAAAAAAAGAAAAAGGAAAAAACACTCAAGAGAAACACACGAGGCACCCCATTAAGATCAGACATTACTTTGGTAACAGTTTTAACTTGCTTTACTACCCCTCCTGATTTATGTAGATAAAATCATTTAACAGATGCTTAGTAGTTTTATGAATTTTCATTTTTAGCTTTTAAATATTAACACTACTAATAACTTCTTTAATCGAAGAATGCTCAGTAGTCTACATGATAATCACTGGCTTTCGTAAATATTATATGGTATTCAATTTTTTAAAACAAGTACATTTCACCTCTGCAGATAAATTTACACTTGGTCGATGCATGCACATCTTGTTGAAAGGGGTATATAAAATTTATCAAAGATGACGACTGAAGTTTAATAGCGTGTTTAATATTTTTGTGAAATATTTTATTTTAGCTTTACAAAATATTTAGTATTCATATTTTTCTTAAAAACCAAAGAATATCAACGGACATAGTTCAATGATTCAGTATCTTGGATCATTATACCATTACACACCCAAAAAGTGCTCTGTAGTCTACATGATAATCACTAGCTTTCATAAAACTTATAAGGTATTCAATTTTTAAAAAGAAATTTCAACTATGCAGACAAATTTTAATTTGGTCTATGCGTGTACACCTTGTTCAAAGAGAAACGAAATTTACCAAATCTGAAGCCATAAGTAGCCATTAAGGCCTTGTTCACGATTATGATCCCAACTGAAGTGACTACGTTGAACATCCATGCAGCCACATCAACTGCCGCCTTCTTATCAGCTTTGCTTGCTGGTGGCATTTTGCTTTTTTTTCTAATTCTGTTCTAAGTGCCCTGATAGGAACATAAAGCTACCAAATAAACTACCACCCCCGCATTAAACTTGAGGTATATTTGTCTGAATTACCTGCACAGTCAACATTTTCAGTCAGGAAATAAGTCAACTGACTAAATGAAAGCTTTACCTTCAGCATTAATGGTAAATGCATGATTATACTCTGAACATTTTCACTTCTAAAACATTGAACTTCCTGCAGCAGAAAAAAACTAACTGTGGGAGCAAAAAATCTACTATAAGGACTTCACAAAATGTCAAAAAAAATAAAAAAAAAAATTGCAACTTTCCAATCTGCAGGTCAAACGGACAAAAGTAGATCCATAGTTATATGAAAGAAAAAAGTACGGCATTGATTAACAGACCAAGAACAAAGCTCCAAAACTAACTTCAACTGGATCCAACGTAATTTTCATATCTTTAGCCTAAACCACATCAAATTTCCAAAAATGCAATCATTCATGTGTCAGTAACCGTTAGATCCAAATCCAGTAGAACTGATTTGTTGCAGATCGCTTGAGATTGCCAAATCCACATCAATGACTCACAAAATCACAGATCTAACCAGACATGACCATCAAATTAAACCGGAAAGCAGATCACAATCCAAGCCCACATCACCGAATGACATACATAACAATAAAAACAAAGTTAAACATACAAAAAAAAAAAGAGTAATTACAGTTTGAAACGGAACTAACGGGATTTCCAACGTGAATTTCAGTTTTCCTCCAGATCCTCAAAACTCCTGAGTTAGAAATGGGCGAACAACATATATGCATGTGATGGACCTATAACACACAATACGCATATGTTTGTGTGATTCAGAGTAAATGGAACGAAGTACAGAATGAATGAGGTGGAGTGATCGTGATTGTGAAGTTAGGGTTTGACCCCAAGAAACCAAAATGGAATGCGAATGGCAGTTATGGAAGTTTGGTTTCCATGTTTATCCACCAATTAATATGGCGATAGATACAGCCTATTTTATTATTTTTCTTTTGATATAAAATTAATAAAAAAACAAATTGAACCTTAATAATAAAATAACATATACAGATTCGATTACATGAGAATGCTAGATTGTAAAAGAAAAAGAATAAATCTACACCATAGAATCTATCAAATAAGTGGTCATTTGACGATCAAGTCAACTTCTATTATTGACAGTCCAATATTGACATTCTTGTAATTAAATGTACAATTCATGGTCAAATGTTTACAATTGACCACTCTATAAGGATAAAAAGGGCATTACACAAAATTCAACGCATCTCCATTACGGTGGACCCCACCTAAACTCACCCAACTTTCTTTTTCTCTCACACAATCTCACACACTAAAACACACAATATTTCCGTATACGGCGACGAATTTGCCATCAGCCACCAACCCCCTTTGCCCGCTGTCGCTCGCCGCTGCAATCACCACTATCTTCGACGTCTTCATCCCTATCTCACATCATCTATATGTATCTATATCCCTCTCGCTCTATCTCTCAAGTTTTCAAAATATTTATCAGATAATTAAACCCGTCGTCGACCTCTCTTCTCCGGTGAGTTGGCATCAAGTTCTGGTCGACGGTCTGATAAGCTATCGCCTATTGTCCTCGAGTTTCTTGTCATCTCCCCCGACGGCGTCGAGTTCAATAATTTTGAATCCCTAAATCCCAAATTCACCGAAGTTAATTTCAACTATGTGACTAGTTCCGGAGAGCGACGACAAGCTCCAGGCCGCGATGTCGGGATCGAGCCTGTGGCATTATCATGTTACATGAGGGAGCGGATGTCACCAGTTCGGCATAATAGGTGAACGGCAAGATACATGTTGAGGGGATGGGAGACTTTATTTGAGAATTGGACAAGTATCAAGGTTTTATGTGCAAATTAAGAAATACAACTATAATGCAATTTAGTTTTTATATTAAACTTGTAATTTATTAAAATTTTATTATGCACAATATTGATAAATAAATTGCACAATACTTACACGAAATTATTAGAAACTCAATAAACGCACAATTTTGATAAGTAAATGTTTAAAAAATAAAGTCGACATTTATGTTATTCCGGTTATTTAAAATATTTTTTAAACAACATATCATTCAGTCGGTTCGATTATTTAGTTATAAAAAAAATAAAACACTCTTAAGAATAGATAATTGAATTGAAATATAAATTTCACCAATTCAAAATTTTTTATTTGGACGGTGTCGATCGTTATTTTAGAATTTGATAGTCCTCATTGTGCAACTCGTCTAAATTTATTGTGCACTTGCAATACATTGAGATATATAAAATAATAATAAAAAAAAATTATTATTATTATTATTATTATTATTATTATTATTATTATTATTATTATTATTATTATTATTATTATTATTATTATTATTATTATTATTATTATTATTAACGATGTTCGGTCGTAAGATGACATCGAACAGAATAATCGATTTTTTAACAATAAAAAATATAATCTAACCGAAATATAAAAATTGAATCGACAATTTTAGTTCGGTCGGTTTTATTCGATTTTGTGCAATCTGATAGTCATTAATGTGCATTTCGTCTAACACTATTGTGCACGGTGCTAGAATTTTTTATGATTTGTCATAAAATAATCTAAAATCAAAACGAAATAATATGTTTATTCGATTGGTTAACCAATTATTTCTTTAATTGAAATAAATCACTATTTATACCATACCTAGATATACCGGTTATAATGGCTCGACCAGGTATGAAGACGGTTTACTTAGGCTGAGTTGAGTCGAGAAAGCTGTTGATAATGGGATCTCATCTCAAGACTCGACATTAGTAAAGATGGAATAGATCAACAATGGCCATCAGCATGGGGAGCTTCTTGAAGATGACCTCAAACCCCACGCGGCTCGAGGTAAACTCTTTGTGTCATCATAAGAAGAAGTCGACTTCTACATGTCGTTGCAACGGAGAAAGAATCGGGGGACTTCTTTAACTTCAACTAAAGGTTGATTTATTTCATTAAGAAGATGGGAACAATTCCAGGGCGAGAATTAGAGCCTCATGATGTATGTAACCTACGTGTAAACTCCAAATTGACCGTCGCCTACTCGATGGCGGCTCTATGCCTCGAGGCT